TTGTTACATTATTAGTATGATAGGACAATTTCTGTAATTTGGTGAGAAATTTGCAAGTGTATTAATATTTAAAGCTATTGTGGTATATTACTTACATTCATAGATAAATGTTCTAAAGTTCAGCCAAAGGTAATAAAAACAGAGGTATAATTTTTTTTTCCAAAATCAACTTCACAAATACCTAGACTTTTATACTAGAGATCATGAGGGGGTCCTCTTTTCTTTTATATCATGCTACTCTTCTCCCAGAGTTCCTAATACCACCTAGTAAAACAGGTAATGAAACACAGTTGCGCAGGGTTGGAGAGGTGGCTCAGCAGTTAAGAACACTTGCTGTTCTTACAGAAGACCCGAGTTCAAATCCCAGCACTCACATGGCAGATAACAACCTCTGTAATTCCGGTTCCAGGGACTCCAATGCCCTCTTCTGGTCTCAGCGAAAATTACATGACATGACATGGGTACATTTATATACATGCAGGTATAACACTCATACACATAAAATAAAAATACTCTAAAAAAAGTTGCAGAATTTAATTGTAGTGGTGAGGTACTGAGTCAAATTAAAGCTGTTCTGAGCTAATTTAGGTTGTGTTTAAATTCATAGTAAAAATGAGAGAGAATCAAGGTAGAATGCCTATTGAAAAGCCAACAGAATATTATACTGTCTGACCAAGACACATAAGCCTGGGCTAAAATAACTCACCTCTTTCTTCACCAGTATATAAACAGAAGGATCCTTGATAAAGTTAGAAATATCTTGATTTATGAATCAAATAAATTAAAAAGTTAAATGTTCACTCCTGGACTATTGGTTCTTTCCCTTGAAAGAAATTTGTTAAGTAGCAACAGCCTCAGTAATATAAGCATTACTGTGATTCAGGTTGGACTTCCCAGAAATTAACTTTGAGATGCACATTGCTGTGCAAGTGACTTCTGGAGTGCTCACAAGGAAATTTTGTAAGGGAGTGGATAAGGCAGGAGACAGCAAACGGAGCGGCTAAGCAATCCTTGCTGTTTCTGTTAATAATTTAATTGATTCTTTGAGAATTTTCCTGCAATATATTTCATGCAGGGCCACTCCACCATCTCCTCTCCCGCCTTACTACCCTCTCGTTTCATGTCCTCTATTATTTTTCTAATTTTAAATGTCTTTCGAGTCTAATTTGTGTTTCCTAAGTGCTCTTAGGTATGGGTCTAGCCCCTGGAGCCTGGTCAACCTACCAGGCATCACATCCTTAGAGAAAATTGACTCTCCCTCTCCCAGCAGCTATCAATTGCAAGTAGATACTCAACTAGAGGTTGAGCTTCTTGCCCACCTCCCATATCCACGCTGAGTTTTTGTTTGGCTTGGACTTACACAGATCTTGTTCATGCTGTCACAAGCACTGTACGGTCATATGTGCAACTACCCTGTGGTGGTAAGGATTTGTTTTTCTAGGTTAGGTGCAGCCTGTGATCCTATGGGGAGCTCTAGAGCAGCAGTTGCATTAAAGAGTCAGCACTGTCACGAGGAAGTCATTTCTGTACCTGCCAGTCTTTGGTTTTAGTTTTCCTTGAGGCTAATCTCAGGTTTACGTGGCACTCATGGCTCTGTAATCCTATAAGAAACCCCAGCTACACGAAGACACTCCTTTAGTAAGACATAAAGAATAAGTCATTTGAAGTAAAGCACATAGAAACTCAGAGAAGAAAACACTGAGGTCAGGATCTGATTGAAGCACTGATATCTATTCCACAGGGGCAAGGCAAGCCAAGAAGGATAACGATCACAGCAAGCAATTACCGAGTGTTTACATTTTGCCAGCATTTTCCTAAGCTCTTTATAATACTACATTTAATCGTAAACAACAATCTTATGCAGTAGCTAATATTATTTCTATTTTGTCAAATGAAGGAAAGTAGATTTATTCATGTAAGTGCCCGCTCTAGCATGGCCTGAAGAGTTCAAAGATTTGAATTCTTGAGGTATAATTTCAGAGCACATATTCTAACTACTATGCCATTCACTCTGGCATGACTTTTTATCATGCAAGCTAAGCTCTTAGCTCTGGAGCTCAGAACAAAATGAGAAAATGTCTTTAATGCACTTGTGCACATCATTCAATATTAGCCACTGCTATCATTAAAGATAGGAAAACGTCATAACTATAAAAAACACATTTTATATAAAAGCGTCTCTTAAATTTGAAAAAGTCTTCTACATAAAAAAAAAAAAAACTTAAAATCCAGGAAATCAGTGACTTTATTCTTGACAGGTGTATTGTTTTATATTTTATATTTTGGCTCAGTTCATTTGTAGAGAAACAGAAAAGAAGACAAGGAAAATGGGAAAAGGAAGAGTGAGTATAATAATATAATAGTTATTTGTAAAGGTTATAAAAATGGCAGAAACAAATATTCTGCACAAAGCCCTATTCATTGCTCTTAAATATTCCTTATAATCTAGCTGTTATTTTTCTATAGGGAATGATTTTTAGTTTTCCTGAGAATGTCATCAGTAAGTAGTTGATATGTCATTCCCCGTAAAGAATATAAGTTTTTTTGCTTTAGAAAATTTAATCACTTTCATCATAAGACTACTAGTGGCGGAAACATGATTTCCAATTTCTTTAAATGATTAATTGCATTAAATTGCTACCTGAATGCTAAACATAGGAAAATGCAACAATATTATCAAAATCTTGGAAGTTTCTGGTCTCCTAACTAGGAAATAAATATCCATCAAGAATATATCAATATAGCTTCATGTAAGTTCATTTAAGTTTTTTATTTTTTGTCAATTTAGTACATAAACACTGTATTTACATCACCCCTATTCCACCCTCTCCCCCTCCAACTCCTCCCACATATCCCCATACCCTCTCAATTTCATAGCTTCTTTATTATTATTTTTACTATAAATATATAAACATATGAATATACAATATGCAGAGTCCAATTAGTGGTGTTCTTATGTATATGTGTTTATGTCTGATCACTTAAGATTCAATCCAATCATTTAATATTTTTGCCACATGTGATGATAATATCACGACAAGATTTCCCCTCAAGTAAAAGAAACATAAAATTCATGAACTGGGGATATAACTCAGTAGATATGTATCATACATTCTTATCACACATGAGGTCCTGGATTGACTCTCCAACATTCAACAAATATATGAATTAAAAAATAAACATGTTTCACATAACATTTGTGAGACATAAACAAGACAAAAAGTTTATACATTGTACTGTTAGCAGTGAACAAGAAGCAAGTCTCTTTCTACATATTTATATGTATGCCTTTTAATCTGATGTAAATGCAAAACTAGGGAAGTATAGGAAGCAACCAATTATAATGGATATTGTGACCAATCAGAATATTGTTGCAACAATTCAGAGTAAATGAGGCAACAAATCAGCATGGGTATTGCTGAAATATAGGCATATATGCTTGAGGAACCAACTAAATACAACTTTATGTGAAATCCAGTTATGCCCATATTACTCAGATAATAAAAAATTATTTTAAGAAATTCAGATGATTTTGGAGGTACTACGGGAACATTTCCTCTTCCACATTCCTTTCTTCTCCTAGCTGTGACAAAGGCAAATCTCTAGTAAGACTAACATGAGAAAGGCATCACAAATAAGTAATAGCCACCACTTACTGCATATTCAGGTACTGGGCTCTGCATATGTAGTACCTTCCTTAATCTTTATGACAGTGCTGTGAGGAGAATTCTATTATCATACTATTATAACTACTATCATTTCATTGATGAAGAATCCAAAGCATAAAGAAGTTGAGTGATGTATTAGCCAGTTTTTTATTGCCTGAACAAATTACATGAGATGAATAAATTAAAAAGCGGAAAGATTTATTTGAGCTCAACATTTAATTCCATGATTGCTTGGTCCTGTTTTTGGGGGCTTGTAATAACATATTACATGTTGACAAGAGCATGTAGTAAGAGGGTGCCTAGATACCTCATGGTGATTGGGTAAGAAGAGAGGAAGGGACCGGCATCCAGTCTCTAGTGACCTAAGACCTTTAACTAGACTGCATTTCTTTTTTTTAATTTATTAATTTATTTTTTGTGTATGAATGTATTGCTTTTATGTGTGTAAGTGCACCTGTGTTGTGCAATGCCCTCAGAGGTCAGAAGACGTCATCAGATTCCCCTGGTGCTGGAGTTACAGACAGTTGTCAGCCACCATGTGTGTGCTGGGACCTGAGCCCAGGTCCTCTGCAATAGCAGTCAGTGCTCTTAGCAACTGAGTCATCTATCCAAGCCCTATACTGCATTTCTTAAGATTCTACCCCCTTGGGTCACAACTTTTAATGCACAGGCCTTTGAGGAACAGTTTAGATTTGTCATGTTTGAATGTATGATGTCACCATACAGGCTCATGTGTTTAAAAATATGATCTCCAGCTGGTGGCACTGCTTTGAGATACCCTAAATCGTTTTGGACATAAGGCTTAGCTGGTATATGTACAGATGCACAGGGGAATTGAAGGTTGTTGCTAGCTCTGCTTCCAATCTGGTTTTCTGCTCTGTAGTCTACTGAGATGTTACAAGGCTTGGCACAAGCTCCTACAGCCATGATCAAAATGCCCCGACTGACTTCCTTTCTTCTCTATGATAGACTGAATCCTCTAAACTATGAGCCCAAATAAGTTTTTCTCCCCTTAACTTGCTTCTCTCAGGTATGTTGCCAAAGCAATGTAAAAGTAACTAACAGAAAATACCGAGAATAGCACCTACTCCAAGTAACACAACTAATACATTTTGGAGTTAGTACTCAAACATGTCCTTTTTTTAAGCTACTAGTTTTAATGTTAGCAAAAGAGTGTTCCCATCAGCATCCTATTATTAGTTCATTTGCATCTTCTTATCTGGCTAAATGGCAGAGTGTCAAAGGCATTTTCAAATATTTGGGCTATTTCTGGAAAGCCATGAACTCACCAACATCTGTCTCCAGAAGACTAAAACAATAGATGAACATTACCTTATTCTCTTGTCTTCCACTTTTTTCAAATATTCATCTCTCTTTAGGACTCCCAGGATCATTTCCTTCTCATGATCTAATAAAAATGACAGGTTGATGAACTCTGAGTTCTTAGACATGGTATTTCAGCAGCAGATCTGAGTAGCAGTGGTTGAATCTTCTAGATGGTAAGTTGATATGTTCCCCCTGTCCAACCCAGAGTCACAGTTGTTCAATTAACGTGGTTTCTATAAGGTCTCTGCAGAATTGCTGATTATGGCTGGATATTCTTTCAGGCTACAGGGAAAACATGTTCTGCTGAGATTACAGTCCAAGAAAGTCATTATTGTTCGAACTGAAAAAGATCTGAAAAGCCTTTGCTGTGGTATATAGTCAGGCTGCAGCGATGTTTCACTAATGATGCTGAACTCTGGTCTTTCAAAAAGCTACAAGGCAGGAATCAAATCCCCTGGGCCAGAATGTAGAAAACACTGAAAAGGTGGAGAAAACAAAAGGTAGAAAAATTAATTAGGCCACTTCACCCACAGCAGTCACTAAATTACCTAATTTTTGAAATATTGATATACCAACTGAAACATAAGTATCAAGTCAGTAAACACGCATTCATTAACTATTTCTTTTATGATTTTTAATCATTAAACTTTTATTATATATGTCATATATATTTAGTTGATTATAGGTTTTCTGAGAAAATTCAGTTTTCTCCCTTATAATTAGGTTGCTCTGGCAGTCAGATCACAGCATGTCTCTTGGAACTGAATTGGGTCACCTCTTTGGGGCACCTATGTACATGTAATGTACTATTCACAACTGGTCAGGGTTCTTAAGTAGTCCTTCCTTTTCCGTGTCTCCCTCATCAACTAAGAGTACAGCATAAAAACTATAACCTATGAAAGAATTATGAACTGGTACTGAAAGTATGAACCTAAGTATATCACAAAAGAATGTTGAATGAATATATTAAATTTGAAGACTTCAAGCACAATGATCACACTCATATAAAGGACACATTGATGAAATATGGTTAATTTTGAAATGTACACATTTATAGACTATGGACAAATGCATGGGAACTTCAGCACCATGATTAGCTCTAAAACACATGGAGACATAATCAGAAAGAAGTTTGCTTACGGATGTGCTACTCAGTGGCAGAGTGCTTCCCTAGCAGTTCAGAGATCCTGGGTTTGATCTCCAGCAAGGCAAAAGAAAGGGAGGGAAGGAGAGAGGGAGGAAGAGAGGGAGGGAGGAGGGAAGGAGCGAAAGAAAGAGAGGGAAGAAGGGAGGGAGAGGGAGAAAGAGGAAGGGAGGGGCTTATGCCTCATGATTTCCATGCTTGTCTGGCAGCTATTCCAGGTATGCACTGTTTACACCAGTACTTCTTATCGGCTTTTGCTTTCTGTGGTTTCATTTACCTGCAGCCAACCACAGTCTGGAAATATTCAATGGGACATTCCAGAGATGAACACTTCTTAAATGTTAAATTGTGACTTTCTGAAAGGTGTGATAGACTCTCATGTCATCTTTTTCTGACATTCTCAGGATGTGAATTTTTCTTTTTCAGCACAGCCACACTCTCTCTGTGACTTACCCACCCATTAATCATTTAATTGCTGTGTCATTTATCCCCACTGCAGTCTCTGGGCTCAGGCATGCTTTGTTTTATTTTTATTTATATGTTTTTGTAAAATTTTATTGAAATTTCATATATTTCATACAGAACATTTTAATCAACTTTATATCCCCTTCCCCAATCGGCTCCCTCCCATAGGCCCTGCCACTGGAATTCACACATTCTGTCATTTGTGTTAAGGTCTATATTGTCAAGTTGGTGTCCTCAGACGTCCTAGGTACATCCCTAGGTACGTCCGAGGCATCCTTTATTTTACTTAATAATAGTACCATAGTGTAAAAGTAGTGTTATAAAGAGGCATGAAGGCATAAAAACATAAGGACAGATTTAATTCTACTACTATGTGGCAATATTGCAGGGCATATAGGAAAAATAAAGCAATGTATACTATATGTAAAGTTATATATGGTGTGTGTGTGTGTGTGTGTGTGTGTGTGTGTGTGTGTGTTTGGTACTATTCATAGCACTAGATAACCACTGGAAGTGTCAGAACATATCCCTTATAGATATGAGGGGGCTACTATATTTACTGTATTACAAAATAGATGTTTTTGAACTACTACTCTTGACAACACAAGTTCACCAGGCCGTATATCTCATATCCTTAAATATGAGCAGATTTTATTAGTCTCGTGTCTGGATTCTCTTTGTACATCCCCCTAATAATGATAATTCTTATGAATATCTGCCAGACTTGGGAATTGCTACTATTTTATGATATTGTCCCTCAGTTTCCCTTCACACATACGAACTACATTGTACAGGGAAATTACACTCTAGACATAGCTACATATGTATTTAAAGGCCATAAGTTCAAACTGTTTTTCAAAGTCACTATATATTTGTTGTATTCACTGTGCAAAACCATAACTTTGCTGAAATGACTCAAAATTGAACTGCTTCCTACAGACCAAAAAGTAACCTCTTCTGAGGAAACTTCCCAAATTCCTATAGACTGTTTGGATTTACTCTATGTCTTTTCTCATCTTCAAAGACCTAGAGACTGCAGGGATTAGAACTGAACATGGGGGCTGGAGAGATGGCTTAGCAGTTAAGAGCACTGGCTGTGCTTGCACAGGACCTGGGCTCAATTCCCAGCACCCACATGGCGGCTGACAACCATCTGAAATTCCAGTTCCAGGGGATCCGATGTCTTCTTCTGACCTCCACAGTCATTCCATGACATGGGTACACCTACCTACATGCAAGCACTACATCAATACACGTGAAATAAAAATAATAAATAAAATTAAAAAAGAAAGACATGAACACGAAGTAGCACCATTAAGAACAAAGGGAACCTTTCAGAAAATGCAACGGATTTGTTTTTGTACCAATGTCAGTTTCTGTCTTCCTAAATAAAGCATAAAATTTCTTTTATATGCCTTGTATATCACATCTGATTTTATGCTGAAATGGAATTCAGTAACTGAATATGTTATCATTATAATCCTGGTTCACTGTGACAAGCTTCATGTTTAAAATATCAGATTTAGCGCGCCTTGTGTCCAAATTTTACAGAATGTATTTAAAATCTATTCAAGGGTTTGGGAATGCTTGAACTAAACTAATGGTTATGCATGTCTTGGGTTGTACATACAAGCCTTCCCTCTCAAAATCAATGCATCTTCCTTGTAGTGAATGAAGGAAGGGAGGGCCTGTAAGATGGCTCAGTGGGTAAAGTGGTTGCTGCCAAGCCTCATGGTCTGAGTTGGATACCCAGAGCCGTATGGTACAAGGAGAGAACTGACTCCTGCAAGTTGTTCTATGACCAACCTTCAAATGTGCACTGTAGCGTGCATGCACCCACACAAGTTCAGACACACACACACACAGAGGGTGAGTGAGTCAGACACACAGACACATACACTAAATAAGTAAATGTAAAACATAAACAATACAAAGCACATGAAAGTGACATAGAAACTTGCTGTGGTGACACACCTGTGATCTCAGTACTTAGGGACAGAGGTAGGAGGATTGTGAATTTGAGGACAACCTGGGTGAGATCCTGTCACAAAAATAGGTGGAGTTAGGGGGAGGAATAGGGAATGGATATATTCAAAATAAGTTGTTCTAAATTCTCAAATATTTAAATAGGTGGAGTGATAGATCACATGTCTAACATATTAGAGGACCTCAACACTAGAACACAAACAGCAAACAATATGAGAATTTAAACAAGAGTACAAGAGAAACATAATTTTACCGTGAGAACTTATTTAACAATATTACCACTTTACTCGTCTCCCCTGTACCTGGAATAATAAGCTGACAGTACCTGGATTGCAGTGTAAATGGTGATCAATAAGTAGAGAAAACCTCATCAAGAAAGTCAGGATGTTTCCTTTGGAAAGCAAGACTGGACTGTGATGATAATTTAATAATATGAAGTCTAACTGATGATAACACAGCCGTTTTGGAGAAACACAGGGTAGAGGAAAAAAGAAAGTGAACCTTCTGAATATTTGCACCGAGGATTGAACTAGGCAGTAATTAATTCACTTAACTACCTCACATCTTATGATACCTCTTTTCGATTAGATTATAGCCCCACTTGGGGAATCCTTTACCACAAACACCCTTTAATAAAGTAAAAAACAAAATGACAAAATGAATAATCCCTTTTCACCCTTTCTGTTAAACAAGTACTCTCAACACTAGTAAGATTAGGAGAGATACATTCATTTTTATTTTATCCTCACTTCTGTATATAAACACATCTCTGTGCTTACACATTTCGAATGTGGAGTCTTCCCTGTGTGACCAACAGCACTAAGAACTGGGATAAGCTGTTTGGAAGGATAGCATGATTTGTATGTCATTCAGCTTTGAGCATTGGTCACTTTGGACAGGCCACTAACTTTGGTGATCATCAAAAAAAGTTATAGCAATAATTCCCACAGAATAAAAAAGACATAATTTTTCAAAGTATCTGTTTTTAATAAAACAACTTAAAACTAACAAGGACTGAAATTTGAATCAAAAGAATGATACCCATCTGAATATATCTCATCACTAGCTATTTTAAATGATGTTTTAAATAGAATGTTTACGGCACTTCTTAGGATGAAATTAATAAAAATAAAACCATTTTTTGTTTTCTTATTTCTGTGTGACAACCTAAGTGTCAGATGGATTTTCAGCATACTTAGATGTTTGGAATATAAGTAAGCATACAAAAACTTACTTAATGGGGACTTTCAAATAGGTAAGCAGTCATTTGTAGGGCAGCTATAATTGGAGTATCACTTAAACTCATACACAAGACTATAAAATGTAAGAATTAAGATAGAAATGAAGATGAGCCTGGGAGAGGATAAAAACAGAACTTTTACCACAAAAGACTCAAAGATAGATACTGTGGAACTGCAGGTATTTGTTTTCAATAGAGCAGCTTTTTCTCTTGTGGACAACTCTGTGTGGTACATTGTATGCCATTGCAGTAACTGTGACTTTTTCAGGATTTCACAAAAATAATGATTCTCCAAACATTAAGAATGTGTTCAGCAAATAGTATCATTTTGTTTCATTATTTCAAGATAAGGTCTTACTGTATGTCCAGGTTGCCTTAGAACTTGTTATCTAACCCAGGCCGGCCTTGAACTTATGATCCTCCTGTTTCAGCCATCCCATATTTTCTTGGGCTTTTAGCTAAGAACAGGTATACTAACAGTACTCTGAATGCTGAGATTACAGGTGTGTGCCACAACACCCAGTCCATAAGCTTTCTATTGACGTTTCAAGAACAGCATTATCAAACTATTGTACAATAATGATTGCTAAAACTTGAATAATTTAACTAAGCCT